ACTGCTGTTTTTCAGGATTGCTGGAGTTTTCATAGAGAACGCTCAAGGGCCAGCACAACTATTCACAATAACTTTGAAAGTAAGGTTAGATATAAGAATTCTGATAGTAAATTTTTTCAGCTTCATTCCAGCAGGACCCCTCATGTTTTTTTGAAAGCCATTGAAAAGCCATCTTTCCGAGAATGTTTCCTTTCTATGACAACAAAAAGCATCAAAGAGATAACAACAAAGGGGAACACTCGGAAACTCTTTGCAGTTCACTATTTACACATCCTTCAACTTCAAAGGACAAACCTGTATGCCACCTCCAATGAATCGTTGCATAACTTCCTCTCTTGTAGAGCCTTTCGGCCGCCAAATATGACACGTCAACTGCAACAGAATATTTAGTGGGTAATGGATGTAGAAAGGTATTTCCGGGGTCAAGCCTATCACAAGAAATCTCTGGGGCAGGGTAGTATTCAACTTGATCGGTGGGCCCCAATATTTCCCCCAGAACCTGCAGCACCTCATGCTCTCCTGCAGTGCTAGGTAAAAATAATGATCCATATCCGACCAGTTCCTGTCGTCCATAGATGTCGTGATGCCAGACTTGAAGCTGAATTCTTGGCCAGCCTAAATTATGCAAAAATGATCAACCAAATTGTAATTTGTGTTGTATAATTGTTGACAATTTATTGATGCGGGCGAATCTCGTCCAAAGGGCGATACGGTACTGGATCAACGGTCTCGGCGCGGTAACCCTATATATTCAAGTTTTCAAGTTTTAATGGTCTCAGTAAAGGGGAGCGAGCCATGCGATTGTTTCACCGCTGTTTCGATAACCAGAACTAGCCGCTGAGACAAAGCCCACCAGAAGTCGTGAATCAACAGCCCCACATCCAGCCACCCCATTGACTACCACCAGGATAAGTAGCTTTGTGAACGCAAAAAGTATCGTCTATCCTTGGCCGGGCAGTTCTCATCCGAGTCGGGCACGCCATGGGGCCTTTCTTCAAACCAAGCCATACTGGTTAATGGCCCAGAATTTTCAAAATTGCAAATGCATCAAATTACATGATAGAGGATTTGGCTTACTCACCCTGAATTGTCTTTGTGGCAAGATGAAGATCGATTGGATGAGCAAAGTAGGCTTCATCGAACACCGATGGTAGATCTGTTTGTGTCTGTCCCTCAACAGCACCTTCTACCACTCGCCATCCACCGCCTACAATGAACAAAATAAACATAATCCAATGAAGTCAAAGAAAAGCAAATACGAGACTAAATAAGTAAGTAAATAAACTTGTAACTAAACAGTTCCCTGTGAATATAGTAGGAAGTGAGGCAATCGACCTAGAATGACCTCTCTGATTCACATTACGTATTTGGAAAATAGTTGAAATGTTAGTGTAGTTTTATTTGGGTTAAAAAGCTGGTTTTCATCTACATCCGCACATTTTGTAGAGAAGTTTTTGGACATTTATGGTGATTTGGTGCTAAAGAAGCGATTAGTTATCTCATCGATTACCTCAGCAGTTTCGAGGAAATCTATGCCCCCATGTCAGCAGTGTGGAACCGATCTCACCTGTTTGTAGCGTCCATCTGCAACAGAGCCGATTGTCACTGAAGCCATCAGCGGACTCTATCTGCCCGCTAACGTACACTTCGGCCATTCCAAAGCAGAAAGAATACCAGTTTCCTCCAGAATTGAACCGATAGCTCTATACACTAGTTATTCTTATTTTCTAAAGAAGGTGTGAGATCAATAAGAGAAGTAAAAATTAAAGAAAATTCCGACAAAGTGTAATCGTGCGCTTTTCGTTACGATGACTAAAAGAAGGTGAAAAGTGGAACAAATGGATATCGAGGAAAAATGAGAAGAGTAAGACCAAATGACGCCACCACTAAGTATAGTTTGGAAATCGGGCCTCGACTATTCACCTTCCCGCTGTTAGTTCTTCGGCATCAAACTTCTATAAATGGCTTTGCTGGGAATATCTGGGAATAACGAGAAGCTCAGGATGTATGACGAGATTGGGCAATTACGACATCAGAAACAGATTCCCAAGCGGTTCAATGCCGATATTGGCTGACCGGCTCATCAAGTTGTCAGTGCTGATCAGAGATGGCTTGAAAGCCACTAAAGAAGCGAGGGCAAGCAAGGTCCCAGTAGTGTATGGGAAAAAGAGCACGGTACCCGGATAGCACGAGTAAGGGTTCCAGTCCTATATGACGCTAAAGTTTTGTTCATAACTCGCCAAACTTGTAGACATTCGGATCGCTTACAGCGGCAAAATAACAAGTTAACAAGGACATCAACGAAAAACCCTATCAACTGCTCTTTATTGAAATCTTACAAGCATTACTTGCATACCTTTAACAATATTAAAGCAGAATATTAAGCGATCGCTGAGCTGTAATATAAGATTGCACACACCGAGCGACTGCTCTTCCCAATGAGTTAAATGAGCTTATTTCACCTCATTCCCATACACTTGCTCTATAGGATCGGGTCTTTCCACTGCTGAAACTGCTCGCCCGGTTCTACCAGAACAGTCTCGGAGCGCGAAGATACACTAAAACCAACAAGTTTTCAGTTCTCAGCCGAAGTTTTCAAATCGCTTTTCTTTGGAAGCGAATTGAAAGCTCGGACAAAGCAAGTTTCACAGACAACTTGGCGTCAGTACCGAAACTTCAGGTGTAACTCTGTTGAAAAAACATTTGTTCATAAGC